TATAGACTACGTCTTCTTCTTCGGTGGTGGTGGTAGACAGAGTAGTGCTCGTATTGGTTCCTGGATCTATCTTAACAATTTTCTTATGATTAAGAATCTCTAATTTTTTAGATTCAGTGAGATAATGATCCCACCAGCCTCTAAGTTGGCCAACAAATCCTGTAGTTATAAGGGATGCTATAGAACTGTCTGAATTTCCATGTTGCTTGCAGACAGTAGAATACATGATCATTCTATGGATTGTATCTATAATTTGTTTGTCATTGAGACCATCCAAATTCCATTCATAAATGGATTTTCCTGAATAAGAATTCTGGAATGGTTCTGTTTCGTCAAAGAGAAAATCTTGCGGTGAGTGACGCTTAATATAATACTTTTCTATAGGTTTAGGAGAATAAATAGGGTTTAAACTATTAGTATTATTAATATCAAGGTTACTAATGTCTAAATTAGCAAACATATCAACTAGTTGGTCAATATGGTTTTCATTATTATCCTTTGAATAATCTTCATGGGACATAACTGTGATATTAAGACCTTTTAACTTTTGTTCCAAAATACAAACAAATTCTTGACCATTGGTTTCCATTTTGAATCCCTCTATGGAAACAGGAGGTTGTACTATAGGAACATCCTAAATAGCGGATGTGGACATCTGGTCCTTAGGTTTATTTATGAGGTCAATAATGATATCTTGACGTGCTATTTGTTTTTCTAAAAGATTTTTTATGGATAATAGATCTTTTTCCATAGAGATAAATTGTTCTCCTAAGCAAACAAGATAGACATTGGTATAATTCTGAGACCTGATGACGGAATTTAATTCTTTAAGAGTAACTTGATTTTGTTCAACTCTTTGTAACTGAAGATTAAGGTAAGGGGTAGCTTCAGTATTTTGACTCAAACTTATTGTTTGTTCAGGGGGGAAAAGGGGCTTCCAGTATTTTGCCTCTAATATTTTTCCCAAGGTCTTTGTAAAACAAGAATTTCTTCTTGTTTTTTACTTATGAAATAGTTAACAAACCATTTCACAAAAGGAATAAAATCTTGCACAAGGTTCATTTAAGTGTAGTACTCATTTTTAAATTGAGCTAATTCGGGTTTTGAAATTTAAAAAAAAAAAACATTCTCTGAATTGAGTATATCTCTCATGTTGAAACTCATCATTGATGAGTTGTCTTATCTTGCTACCAGGAGAGTAATCTAACATTATAATTGGAAATCCATATCTGACGGAGTAGGTGATTCTACTCTTGGAGTACTAGGTTTTTGATAAATTCCTTGGGGGATTCTATTTTTGCTAAGTCTTATATTCTCAACGACCTCTATCTCTTCTCTTTTTTGAGAAGTAGAAGGTCTAGGTAATTGGCTAGAAGCTGTGAAAAATTCACTAACTGAGTGTCTAGCAGAAAGAGATCTGGGTATCCTAACTATTCTTTTAGGAGTAAAGTTTATTTCTAGATCTTCTTCAGTAGTTTGAATTATTTGATCTATATCCCTATTAAGGATAGGTTCAGGATCTATTTCCTGGGGAAGAGACCGTGTCTCTGGGAAGTTTATTTCATCCCATTTTATCAATCTATTGGTTGCAACATTGGAGGTTAACAAATTGGTTTGAATCAAAGTAGTAGTCCCAGGGTACGCTAATTGTTTTGCTTTGGGATTAAGCGTAGTAAGAACCTTATAGTAAATTTTATAGCATATTGCTATGATCTCACTTCCATGTTTGAAATTATAACCATTAGTATGAACAGTTAACTGAATAGCATCTAATAAATTCTTATCAGATAAAGATAGAGTTAAATCTGGTGAGACATCAAAGTAAACTGGTCCATGACACAGACTTGTCTCTACCATAGCGGCTAAAGATTGTTTGAAATTCTTGCATCTACCATCTCTAACATAAGCCATTATGCTAGAATTTAAACCTAATAATGTTAAAGGTTTTAAAGCAATTTGAACTAATCCAATATGGATAAAATTATAATTTTTAAAAGGTTTCAAATTTTTTTTGTTAACAGTTTGATTGTCTGTTTTTCTTTGGAAATTTAAATTGTTTGCTCTAGAGTTTTAACAGCGAAACGAGCAAAAACATCTATCTTACCAAATCTATAAATTTGATTAGGAGGGACGGAGGGTATAAGCCATTTGTTGAGTTTATCCAATTTTTTTTGGATATTCTACAAGTTCTTCATTTTTTATCAAATTGTTTTGATGATAAACATCATCAAAATCCATAAAGGAAACAGGCTAAGAATGTTGTGATTGGTTGATACACAAAGCTAAATCTAAATAGGAAGTTATGTGAATAATGATAATAGTGGTTTTAATATAAGTTATTGTATAAATTACACATTAAGGTAGGGGTAGAATTGGTAGAAAATAAACTACACAAAAACACCATGTTTTGTCTTTATATATGTTATAGATTACCATTAATTATTCATTCTACTAGTCGAAATAAAATAAACAAAAAATGTTTGAAAAAAAATGGTTCCTAATTTAATGATAAAATAACAAGGAAAAGCACATAGGAATATAACATGGAAATATATAGAAACCCCTCTTTGAGTCAATCATAAATCTAGATCAATAATTATTTATTTACTATTTTAAATCTATTTATAAATCTTTTATAAGTATTCAAAAATTTATTATTTTTTAAAATGAATACTAATTTATATATAAAATAAACTTTTAATTTTTATTTTTAATCAACGGTAATTGTTAAATAATAAAATTGTGTTGATTTCAATCATAATTACTTTTATTTGTAAAAAAAAAACTCACAACCATTTATAAAATCATAATTACTTTTATTTGTAAAAAAAATCTCACAATAATTTATAAATTTCTTTCTTAAGTGTCATTTTTTGAATAATTTTTTTTAATTGTCGCTTATAAAATTTAAGATAGTATCAAATACGCTTTTGTCAAAATTATCTCTAAATAATTATTATAATGTAAAAAAAATAAAATGAGTATAATAAATAATTAGAAATATTGTAGATAAAAAAATTATTATTTAAAAAATATTAATATTAATTAAATTTTTTGATATAGATAAAAAGTCAAAAAAACGGAGGGAATAATAAAATAATGAAAACATTTTAAACTTCACTATCATTAACTATTCATTCTAATTATCAAAATAAAATAAAAATTGAGTAACCAAAGAATTATAGAAAAAATTACAAAAAATATCTTTCCTAATTTAATAATAAAATGATAAAAACATTTCAAACTCCACTATCATTAACTATTCATTCTAGTTAACAAAATTTTGTTAGACAAACTTAACACCCAAGATTTAGCATCACTTTTTAAGGGGTTTTAGTTTGGTTCCCTTTTATTGCCTTTTTGGTTCATCTATATATTTAGTTCTTCTTTTGGTTAAAAAAAATTCATTCTAATTGTCAAAATAAAACAAAAATTGACCAAATAAAAAACAAAATCTTTCCCAAATTTAATGATAAAATAATACTAATATTTTTTTTTTTTCTTTCAAATCCACTTATAACAATACGTCACCAATCTAATCCTCAAAAATAGCAAAAGCACATTAGGGATATAACATGGAAACATAACAAACCCTAATTTAGTCCATCACAGATCTGGTCATAAAATTGATTGGTCAAAATTGTAGGCGAGTTTAGAATCCCAAATTTGGTATAAAAAAAAAGGACAAATCATTTTAATAATATATTCTTAAAAAAAATACAAATAGTCTAGTCAGCAAATATTAAAATAATAAAAATATAAAAAATAACAAGTAAGAACTATTTAAAAAATATATTTATCATGTTTCACAATTTTTTTTTAAAAATTTAATCCTTAATCAGCTTCTAAATACTACAAGTATATCTGAAATAATGATTATAGAAATATTTGATATGCTAAAAAAAACATATAAAAAGACGAAAACAATTAATAACATAATAATATAAATCTTTCATTAATAAAAAATGAAAATAAAATAAAATAATAATATATGAAAATATGAAAAGTAATATAAATAAGTGGCCATGCCCATAGTTGTAGCTTATTCCAGTGAATTAGAGCGAAACTGTGTGCTGCTGAAGACGTTACGTGTTTCTGATTCGTAATCTTTTCGTTCCTCTTTAAATCGATTACAAGATTCTCTTTCATTATTTAACGCCATTGTTTCTGATTCTCAATCGCTTCAATCCTTTTTTAAATTCACATTCATTCACTTTCACTCTTCCTGCAAAATTCATACTCCCAATCGATTTTCGGCTTCAATTTTTTTCATGATCGTCAGGTACGATTGATTTCGTTCTTTTTGCTCGCATTTCGATTTTGATTCAATTCTCAGTATATTCTGTTTTTTGTTTTTTATTATTATAATTACTGTATTTATATACTCATGCAAATGCGAGGAATAGTTTAAACCTCTGTTAATCTTTGCGCTTTCTCATGAATGCGATTCTAATTTCGGTTTTTTTATTGAGTTAACTTTAGTCAACTCCATTTGATTTTTGTTTGTGGTGAGTTGAGTTTAACGGTTATCATTGATCAACTGCTTTGGGGTTTATTTTATCTCAAAGTTTTAAAGTATGGCTGAAATTCATAATGCAGTTGGTTTTGTTGTGTTCTTATCCGAAATCATATTGCATTGAAGAATCATGAATATGTGTTTTTTTTGGTCTTAACCATGGGTAAGTAGTAATGAACCTGATCATCCGATTAGGATTTGAATTTAGGTTGTATCGAGCAATTCATCTTGAATTGAAGCTAAGTAACCTCTTGAACCCAATTAATTGATTATGAAATCGCAGTGATATTGTGCTTTTGTAGAGAATGTTTTTGTTGAGTCTATTGTGCTTTTGTAGAGAATGTTTTTGTTGAGTATGGTTTTGTGTGTGTATTTTGTTGAATAATTTATGATTTTTGAATCTAGGTATTTAAGAAGCATGTCGTTGGTTTAATGAATTGTGATCATGTTGTGAGTGTATTTCCTTGTTGATTCTGCAGTAAGAATGGAAGTAGTAGTTCCTAGACGAGTACGGTCAAATAAACAGACGGGTGATAAGCTGAAGTTGTCTGGTTGTTCAAAAGTTTTTGGAAGCTTAAAGAGAAAGGCGGAAGAAATTCAGGAGTGTGGTGGTAATGAGACAAGATGTTCAAAATATTTTGGAATTTCTTATAAGAGAAGAACTCAAGAATTTCATAGAAATCATTCTGATACAAGTTCAGAAGGGGTAAAAGATGTTATGAAATGTTTAAAAGAGACATCCAATCTTTCATCTAAGAAAAGAGTTAAGCCAAAGAAGCGTGTTCTTTCATACAAGAAACAGGAACTTGAAGATGAAGATGATCTCTTGATGGATGATGTTGAACAAGATGATGAAATGTTTTTTCTTCTTAACACAAAGAGCAGGAGCAGCAGAACGGGTAGAAGCAATAACATGACGGTGACTATCTTTCTCGCCGCCTAATTCCTACACTTTAAAAGCTGAAACATTGATCTTTTATGATACGTTTTTCTAATTGGTGAAATATTATATCATGCTTAATGATGAGATGCTTATTTAATTGTCTCAGCAGGGTGTTCAACAAAATACTCGGAAATGTCATCAGTGCCTGAAAAAGGAAAGAATGTCTTTCGTGCCATGTACTAAATGCAGCAAAATGTACTGTATGCGATGCATCAACCAATGGTATGCCAATTTTCATCTCATTAATATCGCATTAGTCAACTCTGCGAAGAGTTCATGTGTCTGTTTTTGGTTTATAATATGCTATTCTAAGATAGAGCTGTTGCTGATTTTGTAATACAGGTACCCTGATATGTCTATAGAAGAAGTTGCTGGAAGTTGTCCATTTTGTCTTAAAATTTGCAATTGCAATGTTTGCTTGCGTTCGAAAGGAACAATTAAGGTTTATTTTATGAACTTCTAAATTAATTTATGTGTTGAAACTTGAAACAAAAATGTCATAACTTTTATTCAAATTATTTTTATGTTTACTTTCAGCCATCTAAGATGGACATCTCCGATTCTGAAAAAACTCAGTATCTACATTACATGATTAACTTACTCCATCCGTATTTAAAAGAAATTTGTCTTGAACAAAGTCAAGAGGTAGATATTGAAGCTAAAATACAAGGTATTAATCTTCCCTTAAGTTTTTGTTTTACCTATTGCATTGAAACAATCAATAATAATAAACTATTCTTTTAGGAAAATCTTCTTCTGACGTTGTGGTACCACCGAGTCTTTGTTGGGACAATGAGAGAGTCTATTGGTAAGTGTTCTTTTATTTGATTTTTATTTGATTCTCTGTGTTCTAGTATATCTTTTAACAATTTGGTCTTGGAACAGTGATTATTGCGCTACCTCAATCATTGACCTTCATCGAAGCTGCCCCAGTTGTTCTTATGAACTTTGCCTTAGATGTTGCCAAGAAGTTCGTGATGGAAGTATTACACCCCGTGCTGAGATGAAATTCCCATATGTGAATAGGGGCTATGACTATATGCATGGTGGTGACCCTCTACCAATGTCTTTTGATTCAGAGACTTCAGATGGTCATCTTGAGGTATCTACAAAGTGGAATGCCAAGGCTGATGGAAGTATTAGCTGTGCACCGAAGGAGATGGGGGGTTGTGGTAGTTCTGTGTTGGAGCTGAGGTGCTCCCTCCCACATGGGTGGATGTCTGGCTTGGAGGGCAGAGCTCACATTATGCTGAAAAATTGGGAAACTGAACAAACAACTCTTCAGAGGGAGAGGGAAGGAGTTGAATCAAACTCAATGGAAAATGAATCTTTTTCAGAGTCAAGAGACATTTTAAAACAAGGGATGCCGCTCTTCCAAAAACATTGGGCTAATGGCGAACCAATTATTGTTTGTGATGTTCTAAAGCAGGGTACAGGTCTGAGCTGGGAGCCAATGGTCATGTGGCGTGCATTGTGTGATAATGTGGGTTCAGTTATGAGTTCAAAAATGTCAGATGTTAAGGCCATCGATTGCATGGCTAATTGTGAGGTTTGTCTTGTCCGCTTTACTTGTCCGCTTTACTACACAGAGGATGTCTAAATTTTTAGTGTTTTTGTACTAAATCTCTGTACTATTAGGGCTGTTCACGGTTCAGTTCAATAAGAAAATCAAACCGAACCGAACCATAGTAAAAATTTATTCGAACCGAACCGTTTCAATTTACTCAGAACTGAACCGAGCCAAAATAATTGGTTTGGTATATCATTTAGAAATTCCGAACTGTACCGAACCGTTAAAAGACAATCTTTTCTGAACCGAACTCTTTATTAAAGAACCGAACCATTAAACTATTTTTCAAATTTTTTTAAAAAAAAATTTAAAACTTATTTTTAGTATTTTTCATTTTCAATTTTGGTTTAGTTCGGTTTGGTTATAGTTCCGGTTCGGTTCTAGAACCATTTTATGTAATATGGTTTGGTTCACTAGCCAAATATAATGTTCAGTTATTTTAACTTCAGTTCGGTTCGGTTCGGCAGTTCAGTTCATGGTTTTTTGAACAATCCTAGCTTTAATACTGTCATTTCCCTATGATACTCCATTGTATTATGTGCGTTGCTTTCCAAATCTTTATTTGTATAGTTGAGATTCTACATATTGCGGAGCTTCCAATGCCATCTTAGTATTTTGTTTTCTTAAGTCGTTTGTAATATATTTAGTTTGTATTTCTGCCACATGCCATAATTCTTGCCAAAATTCAATTCACCCTTCTAATCCTTTGCAGGTTGAAATTAATACTCGTCGGTTCTTTAAAGGTTATATAGAGGGACGAACATACAGAAATCTCTGGCCAGAGATGCTCAAGCTAAAAGACTGGCCCCCTTCTGATAAATTTGAAGATCTTTTGCCTCGTCATTGTGATGAATTTATTCAGTCCTTGCCATTTCAACAATATACTGATCCTCGGGCTGGAATTCTCAATCTGGCTGTAAAGTTGCCAGCCCATGTTCTAAAACCTGATATGGGTCCAAAAACATATATTGCTTATGGGATTAGAGAAGAACTTGGTAGGGGAGACTCTGTAACAAAGCTTCACTGTGATATGTCAGATGCGGTATGCTTAAGCACTCTCAGCCTATCCATCAGCATTGAATGTTTTCTGCATATATATTCATTCTTCTCTCTGAGAACCTACATTATTGCATCTAGGTTTGCATATTGGACTGAAAAACATTGTTCTCAATGCATCATGCATGTGCTTCATTAATATTTTTCCAACTGCTCAATCATAGAGAATGAACATTCCTTTAGATGTTGAAAACCTTTATATAACACATTACTTGTCTAAAAGGATATCATTATATGGTTAAAAATTTTAATTTGTTAATATGTGTCACGATACGGTTAAAATTTACTTATATAGCTTCAAATTTCAATTGGAAGCGTATCCTTTTTATTCTAATTTATAGTTTAACTTGTTGTCATAGGTGAATATTTTGACCCATACAGCAGAGGTACAATTAACCGATGAGCAGCATTCGGCTATTCCCAAATTGAAAGAAGCACACAAGGCACAAGATGAGAGAGAAAGCCGTGCTCCAGAAAGGGCTGCAAGATGCCTAAATAGTCGACTTTGTGACAACAGAGAACATGAAAACCGTCCTGTTCAAATCAGTGGAGATATGTTTCGAAATGACGTATCTGAGGGGGTCACTTTTGCTGCTACTACAGAAAATGAAACAATGGTAACAGGCAGTGCCCTGTGGGATATATTTCGAAGAGAGGACACTGAAAAGCTAGGAGCATATCTTAGAAAACACTCGAAAGAATTCAGACATACTTATTGTTCACCGATTGAAGAGGTATTGTAATGATTCATATTTCTCTGTCTACTCTTATTTTTAATGCTTATTCTCAAATCAAATTCTTTGTTGATTAGGTTGTACATCCAATTCACGACCAGTGCTTTTATTTGACTTTGGAGCACAAGAAGAAGTTGAAGGAGGAGTTTGGTTAGTCCAGAGAATTGTGTTAATTGCTTGCTTTAAATCCCTACAATGATTAGTTATTAATGCGAATCTCGACTTTTAGGTGTAGAACCATGGACTTTTGAGCAAAAGCTCGGAGAGGCAGTATTTATTCCTGCTGGATGCCCACATCAAGTCAGAAATCTCAAGGTAAAATATCTCAACACATTTGATTCGTACTTTCAAATAATTTGATTGTATTAGTTGTCCTAATGATATGTTGAATCTTGCACAGTCATGCACAAAAGTTGCTGCAGACTTCGTATCCCCAGAAAATGTTCATGAGTGTCTTCGCTTAACTGAAGAATTCCGCCAGCTTCCAAAGAACCACAAAGCTAGAGAAGATAAACTTGAGGTGATATGCTTCTAAATCACAATTCCTTTTGTCTTTTGTGTTACCACTCATCTCCTTATGATGACAGTTTCAATATTAAGTTATTGGAGATTGTGTGATATTTTCCTTTTCTGTGTGATGAATTATTAACGTCCGCTCTTTCTTTAATGGAACAGATAAAGAAAATGATAGTTTATGCCGTTGATCAAGCCTCGGGGACCTAGAGGCTTTACTCGATACTTCTTGATTGGCAGAATACTACCTCATTTTTCCCTTGTTGATGATCCGCTAAATTGGTGGGAGTGTAAACAGTGTCCAGATAGAAAATTTTGAAGTTGGGAATCTTTGATTTTAGATTATTTCACAATTGTGTCTTTTTACTTTTTTTTTTCAATGAAAAAAAAAAAGTAATTGTATTCAATAGATATGTTACTGAATAGTTATGGCATTCATGCCAAAAGAAAATACATGCATTACATCAGACAGTGTTCTTGTTTTTGTTGTTTTTTGAGGATACAAGAACGCGGAGATATAGTTTATGAATGAATTTGAGTGACCGTGTATTTGATGTGAAGCACGCATACTTGTTTAATTTGATCAAATGTCTTCTGTTGAATATGACTTCAAACAGTTCTGCCCAAACCTCGAGCAAACCTCGAGCCTAAGACGCGAGAAAGATTTCATCTTATCAGCTAAAATTGGGTATAAATCTTTCAAGGAAGTTGACTTTTCACAAAATGCTTTGTAACTCCTTAGTGCTGGGAGGCCTAACTTTTAAGATACCTTTAGCTTTATTCTTTGTCTACCTCATATCCCTTATTATGCATTAGGAAACTTAGGAAATTTTTAGCTGATATTTCAAATGTACATTTGGTTATATTCATTTTAAATCAATCCTTTTATTAAGGTTTGCTCTAGTTCTAACCAGTGATGTTGGAAATTTAGATTTTACCAAAGAGAAATCAGTAAGCTGAACTGTTAGTGGAAATCTTTCTTTTGAAAGGGATAGGGTTAGTTATCAGTTGGTTATTGAACCAATATAGATTGTCTTGTGTTAATATTCTCTTCCCTCAACTCTTTTATTTGAAGTCTGTTGTTATCTTCTTGAAACATGTTCTAAACAAAAATGTCATTTTCAAAAAGATTTTGTAAACAAGTTTTATTCAAACTATCCTTTCTTCTTTTCTTTTTTTTTAACATTTATGTTTGATAACATATGCAAGTAGCAGCAGAATGAGAAAAAATAGTGTCAATAATATATGTAACGACATGAGAAAAATAATGCCTCGGAAAACAAATTTACGAAGGATTAAAAAATAATTTTACGTTGCAGCCATGAACACAATATTAATCAACGACACACAGTACACATGCTATAATGGATGTAAGTTTCATAATCACCAATGAGTAAATTAAAACAAATAGTCATACAATAAACATATCTATCGGCAATAAACATGTACCTGTTATGGTTGAATCCATTTGCATAAACTGAGAATGCTACTACCCTCTTTCCCTTTCCGATGGAACGGTTACGCTTAATTATCTGACCTAATGGGATAGTCAAATATATAACCACCAGATGAGGGAAGAGACGTCTCAGCGGGCTATCCAAAAAAAGTAAATCCATTATAGATTTAACAGTATAGGTTAGTATAGGATATGATTTCATTCCAAACTCCAACATTGTTAGAGGAAGTGTTACTTGCAAT